TTTGTTTATCTGGGAATATCTTAATTTCCTCTTCATTTCTGAAGGACAGTTTTGCCAGAATATTTTCAGTTGACAATTTTGTTCTTTCAGCACTTTAAATATATCATCCCATTGCCTTCTTGCCTTAAAGATTTCTCCTGAGAAATCCAGATAATCTTATTAAGGATCCCTTGTATGTATGAGACAAGTTCTTCTTTTCTTTTTTTTTTGAGGAAGATTAGCCCTGAGCTAACTACTGCCTATCCTCCTCTTTTTGCTGAGGAAGACTGGCCCTGAGCTAACATCCGTGCCCATCTTCCTCTATTTTATATGTGGGACGCCAACCACAGCGTGGCTTTTCCCAAGTGGTGCCATGTCCGCACCTGGGATCCGAACTGGCGAACCCTGGGCTGCTGAGAAGCAAAACGTGCACACTTAACCGCTGCGCCACTGGGCAGGCCTCAGACAAGTTCTGTTCTTACTGCTTTCAAGATTCTTTCTGTCTTTGGCTTTGAAAAGTTTGATTATCATGTGTCTCAGTGTGGATCTCTTTGGGTTTTCCTGCTTGGAGTTCATTGAGCTTCTTGCAGTGTAGATTTGTGTAATTTGTCAAATTTGGGAAATTTTCTTAGTCTACCTCTTAGTCTTCCATTTTGCTGACATCCTCTGTGCTTTCTTGCGTAAGCTCTCCCTCGCATTTGAAATACCATTTTTTTACCCAACATTCATTGTTTCCTGCAAGGCTTAGCTCAAGTCTCACCTCCTCACAAACATTCCCACAGCATGGCTTGATGAGCAGTGTGTAGGTCCACGCGCAGGATCCGAACCTGTGAAGCCAGGCTGCCAAAGCAGAGCGTGTGAACTTAGCCGCTATGCCAGCGGGCCAGCCCCCCATAATTCCTTTTAAAAAATTACTCTATCAGTGTTATTTACAATTCTAAGCAATGTCAATATTGTGAGTAAAAGTGCACCACACCATAGGCTCAAAGCCTGCTTTTTCGTAATTACATGACTTCTTGTACATTTCACCCTGCACATCTTAAGACAGTAGAGAGATTAGTTAGCATCTGCCTAATGAAAAACAAGACTGAGACTTTGAAAGGTTGTGTGACCTAATCAGATTCAGAAAAACTATTTCATGGCAGAGCCAGATTAGAACCCAGGTCTCTGGCTTTAGTCCCATTTTCTTGCTCTCCCTAAGACACATCTGCCTTACTGAAGACTACATAATAAGAATTGCATGCTTTTCTTTGTTGGCTTGTTAGAGAGATTTATTGGCAGTTAAGCTGCTTAATAAGAGCATCCTTTGGGTTAAATGTGCCCAAAAGAATTTTTATAAATAAGTTTCAGGACTGAAAAATATGCCTTTGTGAATTTCACAACTTTCTCAGATTCCAGCTAGTTTCTAGTGTTTATTATTTTCTGGTTGGAAAATAATAAATGCTTATGTTTAGAAAAAAAGACATAAAACTGTATATCTGGGAAGGACTTTAAAGGTGACTTAATCTTGTTTCTCTAACAACGTTAGTGTTATATCAAAATTAAGACAGACTGCTCATTCCTTTTTTCCCATAAACAGAGCCTTGGAAGGAAGTGAGTTGCATGGACTCAGGTCTGAGCCTGACTGCCCTTGTGAATAGCTTTTGACTACTTCATAGTAGGTTTATGCAGTTATCAAATTTAGGCTTCTGAAAGCATGGCTGGGGCTTTGCTTTCCTTGCTGATTCAGATACAAGGATCCACAGAGCAGTCAGCCTTTGGAACACCAGGGAGCTCTATCCCGGGCCCTTCTTGATGGCTTTGTATTTCTCAGAATGTGCCAGCATCTTGGGAGTGAATAGGGCCAAGAAGATAGTCTAAGATAGAGGGTGTGTGGAATATTTCTTTTTCCTTTTCTAGGCATTACTAAGGTGAAGACAGTAGCTTTTTCTCATATCCATTTTGCTTTGGGCAAAATCCTTACACAGCTATTTTTGAAATATATCTTACGTCTGTCTTATCCACATATATTGGTGGGCTCCTTAGGAAACTACATCTAATTATTATTTTTTGTTGTGGTATGGAATCTGGAAAGAATTAAGTTTTTAAGTTACTAATGTTAAACAGAGTGCTTTGTATAGTTATGCATCTATCACCTTTAGAAAAATATATGTGTTAGTTGAAAAAGAGGAGAATGTAAGAAATATGGACAAGCATCCTTAGTGCATGTCAATGTGTGTTTAGATACTTTTACTTGCCTGAAATGAGAAGGATAGCTATAGAGGTTAAGAGTCTCTGAAATATCACAGAACAACAATTTGATGTTTCTGAAGTTTAATCTAAATTACTGAGAAAATTATTTGATTTTCAGTCTGATTATAGGATAAATTTTCAATTGTAATGTTTTTTATAGAAAATAATATAACATCATTTTATTTATTTTTTTAAGTTTTCTGTTTAGTACTGTATGTTATGCTGCTTGGTTTTGGTAATAAAAGGAATTCTTATGAGGTCAGAATTTTACTAGATGAAAGTGGATCAAAAATTCAATTTAATTGATCTTAATACTAAGAGAAATTAATGCCTAAAGATTCCTATATTTTATTTAGTTGGCAGTGATCTTCAGAATATGTTTGGGGACATCTCCACTGCTCCCCACCCCTCAAACACACAAAATTACGAAGAGCAATTTATACTTTCTAAGCTTCCTCCATTTTGCCCGATCATAGACTGGGTTTCCTGGTTAGAGCTGAGAATCCTTTGTAATCTGTTTTCCTTTTTTACCAAGTGAGCTTCCTTCTTTTGCTCTCCCGTTCTTCAGTCTTGGCTTCGTTAAGTCAGGTCGCTGCCTTCTTGCAGCCCTGTTTTCCTACACGCACACTTGCTCTTCTGAGCAGACACTGTCGGTAACAGCAGTTCACAGTGGAGCAGAAAGGATTGAATACAAACATGTACGTTAGTGTGTGCAGTGCTGATCTATGATACCGTCTAAGGTTTTCTATTTTTGTTATCTACCATGGGAAACAAGGAGCTGGATTGATATGGACCTTGTGTGGAATGCTCTGAGGATTTGGGCTGCAGGGAGGGGGCTAGGTTTTCATGTGACTTCTCTCTGACATGCTGCAGCAGGACTGAAAACACTCTTCTGCTCACATAAGGAGGAAAGAAAACATTTCCAAGATTGAGCTTGCAGGATTTGTGGAGTATATTTAGATTTTTCTTCCTGTGTTTTTCTGTTTTACCTAATTTTATAAGAGCCGTAAGTGGGGAATGACCTTTGCATAGTAAGTAGATTGAGGTATGGGGGGAACGGGCTGCAACAATGATTTGTATGGTAAGGGACTCTTTAAAATCTCCACGACATCGTGACCCACATTGGGACCCATCTGACCAACGGTTAGGGAGCTCCTTGGCCATCTGAAGTATTTAAAAGTAATAGTGTACAGAGTCAGGCCCGATGGTGCAGTGGTTAAGTTCACATGTTCCGCTTTCTTGGCCCAGGGTTCGGCAGTTTGGATCCCAGGTGCGGGCCTGCGTACTGCTTGTCAAGCCATGCTGTGGCAGGCGTCTCACATATAAAGTAGAGGAAGATGGGCACGGATGTTAGCTCAGGGTCAGTCTTCCTCAGCAAAGAGAGCACCATTGGTGGCAGATGTTAGCTCAGGGCTAATCTTCCTCAAAAAATAAAATAAAATAAAAAATAAAATTAGGAGCTTGCTTTAAAAAAAAAAGTAACAGTGTACAAATAGCTTTATTCTTGTGCTTTTTTTCTCCCGTACGAATCTTAAGAACATTGTGTCTACATATCCAAAACATTTGATTTTTGTGTACATTTAAAAATCTCACTTAAAAAAGGTGAAAAATATAAATGTAGCATGAGGTTGTCCCTTAAGCATCTCATTTGGTATAATTTTATCACTTTCTTATATGCTACAGCTTAATGGAGCCTGAGCTTATGTTTGGGTTATGTCTGGGACAAAACTGAAATATTGTCATGAAGCTCTAAGGAGAAACTCTGTGGTACTAGTCTGGAGGGCTCTTGAATGCCATCCTCCCTTCTTCCTGTTGCCTTTCCCCTACCCAAAAATGTGTTGCTGCAGAGTTCTATGGCTTTTTCTCTCATTTTGTGGAAGAGAAAAGAAAGTGAAGAAAGACTCTATGTGTGTGTGTGAGAGAGAGAGAGATTTCTGTACAAACAGGCAGTTAAATTTATGAAATCAGAAGAAATAGCTTTATTTTGTAATTCTGAACCTAAGGTTGCATAGGATTCTTTCATTAGGAATCCAGCTTTGATGGAACCATGTAAGAATTTAGATGATGTTTCAAAGTCAAAGTGGATCCTAGCATGTTTGATCTGAAGAGTAGAAAGAGATAAATACTAAATGTGATTGGTTGTTTTACTTATATACATTATTTTATATATTCGATCAATTGAGATTGATAGGTGGTCCTAAAATAGCTTTTTTAAACAGATGTGGTGTTTGATGGAGCAAATGGCCTGTGTATTGGCAATCTTTTCCATTTTCTCTATGTAGTTTCATTCTAAAATTGGTGCACACCAGTGATTTAAGGGGAAATTAACACTTCAGTAAGTGTCCTTTTCTTTAATATTGTTCATGTTTTTATTAGCCATTTTCATTTAATTTGACAGTGTTCTTAAGGGTTAAGCTTACAGAACTGATGCAGCCCCTCCTTTATTCCACCAGCAATTTTCATTGGACAGCATTTCCATAGCAACCGTGAGATCAGTGAAACCTGAGTGTTTCATTGATTATACTTCTCCTTGTCTTTTTTTAATCTATTCTCTTTTCACCACATTTTAGTGAGAAAGCGGTTTTGTTTTGGTTTTTTTTTCACTAACAGAGCTTATATTGATTTCTATTCCATAAATAATTAAAAGAGGGTAGAAAATCTGCCCTTCATTTAAGAATTGAATGTTTCACTATGTATTTAAAAAGCGATTCAGGATTAGGAGGATGGATAACCATACCGGCTGTAGCTGATGTTCTCAAATATTCTTGCATTGTTTGCTGGTCTTCTAGGGAAAAGAATAATGTGGAACAGGACCTTAAGGAGAAAGAAGATACTATTAAACAGAGGACAAGCGAGGTTCAGGTATGTGAACTGTAAAATTCGGTATTTCGTTTCTGACTTAGGATTCATTTTAAATGTATAGGGTGATTTACTATGTGATGGTTGTGGTATTGATGAGTAAGTCAAGGGAATACCTATGATTTATGTGGTATAAATATTTGTCTTTTGCAAAATGATTGTTTTTCTCTGAATTCTGGCCTGTGAAGATTACACTGCAATGAGAAAGCAGTATTTTTCAGCATAAATTTCTAGTTTTAAAAGTATTTTTAAGGTAATATTTACTTGCATGTTATATCATTAAAGGTAAGTTTGAATGACTTAAATGTAAATATTATTACACCAATAAAAATAAATGGGTGAGATCATCGTCGTCATCATCATCATCATCATAAAAACGCAAATTGCTTTTTCATGGATGTGAGTTTTTTTTAGCTAGGAGACCCACTATTTTAAAGTACTGTTTCTCATAATACTAGTAGGGTGAGAAATGATATGGAACAATTTAAAATAGCGTTATATAAGTTGCATAGCAACCAGGATATCTTAAACTTTGACATAAAGAGATTTAATTGATTTTCACTAAGTGCTGGGTTAAGTAGCTTCATTTTACAAATAGAAGAGACAGGAAAACTTCAGTTTCTGATTGGGAAATGATACAAAAAGGGGTATTTCAGACATTAAAAGCATAAAAAATTGGGCAGTGTTGCCTTTAGAGCAGTAAGCAGTGCATGTGACCATGTTATTGGGGCACCGTTTCCTGAATGCTGCACCAGCACATATAGGAGGTTGGGTGTAGAAGCCTTGGCAGCAGTTGCCAGTAAGAGCTCATGAATCGGCATTTCTTAACATGCTATTTGCGTGTTGGATTTCCCTGCTTATCTTGATAGTTTTAAATGGGTGAAAGCTCTAAATTATTAGGTCCATTGTTTTGTTTTGAAGTAGGACATTCACTGGAGATTGTCAATTAGATGGACTGTGTTATGGTGGGGAGAATGATTTACTGAGAGAATGAGGAAGCAGCCAGAGAGACTTCTTGTTGGAAGTTGATTCTCTTATTGGATGACTGCATATATTATATATTCTGGAATTTTCCTAAATTGATGCTAAAGTGATGCTAAAGTCAGGAGATCATCACTAATATATTTTTCTTTGTGGCAATGAGATGAAAGGTGGTTACCTCATTACATTATTTTTGTGCAATTTTTGAGTTTCTTAAGAAATGCAAAAGTCATTGGTGAAAATAGTTTAAGAATGAAAGAGAAAATAATATACAGAAGTTTTTTCAATATGAAGAGATATAGTTACTGATATAATCTTGGACAGCTTCTAAGTTTAGCCAGATAATATTTCAAAGTACAAAGGTTTTTGCGATAGATAATATTTCATTATTTGTTTACGTTTACCTGTTGATTTTTCCCTGCTGCATCTTTTGAGGATGTGAATTTAAATAGCCAGTTTAGAAGAACATTAAAATTTACATTGTTCCTTTCGGGCTAAATGCTATCGTTGAATATCTGATTTCTTATAATTATAGGAGTGTTGTTGTCAGTCAAAATTTCTTCGTGGGGCTGGCCCTGTGGCTGAGTGGTTAAGTTCGCGCTCTCCACTTCGGCGGCCCAGGGTTTCGCCAGTTCGGTTTCTGGGCGCGGACGTGGCACCACTCATTAGGCCACGTTGAGGCAGCGTCCCACATGCCACAACTAGAAGGACCCACAACTAAAATACACACTATGTATTTGGGGGATTTGGGGAGAAAAAGCAGAAAAAAAAAAAAAGATTGGCAATAGATGTTAGCTCAGGTGCCAATCTTTAAAAAAAAAAATTTCTTCATGATTTGCTTGTCTTTCTTTACTTAGTGGTGATGATAAGATATATGTTAAATCTTAAGCTCTGCTAAATTAAAAATGTATGATTGGCAGAGGAAGTCTAAGTTGTTGAATGTTTCTGCATAGGGCGCTGTAAATAAAAGGCATCTTGGAGTATGGTTAGTACAGACCAAGTGGTAGTTGTTGAACATAAGTTCATTGAAAAAGAACATTGGATTAAAGTTTTGTATTAGTAGATTTATTAGTCATTCCACGCCAATACAAGTGTCTCTGTATTATCCATGGTAATGAGACAGTAGATGAAGAATGACATGGATAGTTGACATATACAAGTAATTGAAACTTCTTTTAGTGATCATTTTCAATTTTCTGAAGCACCAAACAACTTACCAGAAGTGGTAGTAAGTGGATTTCGTTACCTATTGAGTTAACTCTGATTTACCCTTTGATAATGACACACAGTCTAGGCATAATGTAGATAATTAAAATCTGTAAGTAACTCCAGCTCCTAGTGCTTATTTTCTAATTTCTATGGCAAAAGGTAGTTTACTGGAGCTGTTAATAAATAGCAGAATCAGAGAATTTGTATTTCACTGCTTCTTTTTGACCCTATTTTCTAGTAGGTGCTAATGAGAAATGCCAAAATGAAGACATCAGGGGAGAAGTAAGGGAATTTTGACCTATCCGTGAGAGTCTTCCTATCCAAACTTGGCTTTTCTGAGTGTTCTTGCTTTTTTCCATATTTATAAAGTCACAGATAATGATTATATGAGCTCATATCTCAAGCACAGAAATCAAACTTTCAAAGCCTCTTTAGATGTGACCAAAGCACCAAAGACTAGTTCTTTTTTGTTTGCTTTTCATTTCTATTAGTCTTCCTAATCCAATTAAATTAGAAAATCTGCTACAAAATTTTCTAAGTTTTTGTTTCCTGTCTATATTCCCATGTTCTACCATCTTGATAATTTTCAGTTCAAGATTTTTTTCTTGAAGACCAAACCAGTGATTAACTTCAAATGTTATTTCATGAGACGATCACCATTAACACATTTGAGGTACACTGCTAGTTCATCAAGTTCTATGCAGAAATTAGGCCCAAAGTGATCCAAGGGGGTTAAAACTATAAAAGGCCATTGTATCTCAAATGTTTATGGTTTGGGCTTTTTTGTTCTTGTGAAAGGGAAAAGGTAGACCCATATACTTTTCTACTTTAAACTGCCTTATACAATTTTATTAAAATGTTTCTTCTGAGAAGTCAACAAATATTTAGGAATTCATCCTCATATGTATGCTTTCTTCAGTTTTGCGTAGGAGTTGTTAGGAACAACTTGATATCAGAAACTTGAATTCAGTTCGTGGTTCTGGCTCTTCCTAGGTTTGTGATCCTAAGTAAGTAATTTAACCACTCTACTCGTTAGTTTTCTCTTCTGCAGCGTGGCATAATAAAAATGCCAAATGCTTAGGGTTGCTGTAAGAACAAAATGAAATAATGTGGGTAAAGTGCCTCACAGAGTGATTGGCACCACCAGGTAAGAGTTCAGTAAATGCTCTAATTGGTAGTAGTTTTCTGTACACTACTGTCATCTCCTTTTTACTCTCCCTTCATCGTCAAGCTCTTTCTTCTCTGACTTCTGTCTTCACTTAGGGCTCTCTGCACATAGGACTCCAATTTGAAAATACTCATTTGTTTGTTTTTGTTTTTTGATATTGCTGCCACTTTAGCTACCAACATATTTTTCTCTTTTTTCTTTTTTTTTTGCTTTGTGTGGCCATTTTTCCCTTCCTATCCTTTCGTTAACCCTATTTAATCTGCTGTTTACCATGCCATTCTACTTTAATATTTCTCCCCAGGACTGGCAGTAATCAGAAGGCCAAATCCGTTGGTCCTTCCTGCATTGATTACTGCTTTCTTGGATTGCACTCTCCTACATATTCTCCTGCCTCTCTGACCCTTTGGTTTTGTTGCCTTTGCTAGGGACTGACTGACATATTCTCTCCCTTCCTCACCGTCTCCTTTCCTTCCTTTTCCATACCCTCTGTCATATGCTGATGGCTCCCAGATATTTATCAAGCCCTCAACTCTCCTGAGTGCCAGTCTCATATCTCCAGTTAGGCACTTTGGTGTTTATCATTTCAAAGTCAGTATGTCTAAAATGAGTCTCATCTTGTTGAAAAAAATTGGCTTCAATTTTGAACTTCCTATTTCTGTCAGTGTTTTTCTTTCTCACTACTGTCACCTTATCACCTAACATCTAAAATTTTAAAGTCAGGTTATAAGTGCTTAACCCATCCTCTTCTTCGCTTTCTTCCTAAACCAGTTTTAGTGTCATGACTCTCAAATGTGAAAATCCTTACTGCTACCCATCGCCACTGTTAATGATGGAAGGATGTCATACCTCATGGTTATATTGGAGGTAGAAAAAAAGATGAGATACAAACCCTCCTCTTGTACTACTTTATTTATTTATTTATTTTTGAGGAAGATTAGCCCTGAGCTAACATCTGCCACCAGTCCTCCTCTTTTTGCTGAGAAAGACTGACCCTGAGCTAACATCCTTGCCCATCTTCCTCTACTTTATATGTGGGACGCCTACCACAGCATGGCTTGATGAGCAGTGCCATGTCCGCACCTGGGATCCGAACTGGCGAACCCTGGGCCACTGAAGCGGAATGTGCGAACTTAACTGCTGCGCCAACGGGCCGGCCCTGTACTACTTTACTTTTTGATTGTCTGCCTCTGAACTGTGTGCTATACACATTCTCTTTCTTATTCCCAAATCTAGAATGTTCCCTACCTCCCTGCTTATGTGAATTCTGCCCAGGCCTGAAAGCCCAGCTCAAATCCCACCACTTCTCTAAAACTTTCCCTTCTCTGTCCCTTCAGTCTATACCGGTCTTTCCTGTGTTGGAACTCCCAGAGGAGTGTCCATACACTTATATGACCTCTGCAGTGTGTGACCTTATTGTGCTGGTTCAGTGTGTATGTATATAGATTCCAATATCTTCCAGCCTATGTTGTGAGTTCTTTAGCTTAGAAATTATAACTTAGATAATATCTTTCACTGTTTTTGGTAATATGTTGTTAGATGGAGGTAAATTTAAGGAAGCTGTTGACAATAGAAATGAATAAACTTCAATTTTGTGCATGAAATTAAAAATAGGAGAAGGTGCACCCAGACATCACAGGCAGAAAGA